TACGGTACAGCAGGTGCAGGAGAACCCCCGGATTCTGCACCGGGTCTGTCTGGGGCAGTGCAAATGCAAAGGTGGTAAATTCCCAGATATAGAGGAGCCCCCCAACCCATAGCCAGGCTTCAGCTGAAGCCTGTTGTTCCCCTGTTGGGCTTGCTGCACCTGCCTTTCACCTGAGCCGCTTCCCCAGGGCCAGGATGGTGTGTCGCTGGACCATGACGGAGAAGACCCAGATCCCCTAAAACGTGGGGAGGACTGCAGCAGCGCAGCAGGGTCTCAGGGAGGAAGGAGCGCATTCCAGGAAGGGGGGTGAGACAAGAGACAACACAGTCCGGAGCAGGAGCGTGGGAAGAGGAAGAGATTTACAATAGGCGCTCCCGAGAATCTCCCAGGATATAGAGTGATACAGATTTAGTCTGGCAAGGTTCTGTCTATAGGGTTTAAGCTATAAAAGAACTGAACTTGGCTGGACTCTTTCCCTGTCGTTCTTGGGCTGGGCCTGACAAACAGTATCTCCAAAGGAGCTGCCTTGAGCTCCTGGAAGAAAGACGAGAGCGCAGTCTGAGAAAGAAAGGCAATATTATCCCTAATTTCAAGCCATTCTTCTTAGTTGAGGTAAGACTGCTCTGAAACAGTTGGGAAAGTAAATGCCCGAAGCAAATGCTTCACTGCTGTGAGGCCACCATCACGGTACCCTCCTAGCACCCAAGTGCTCTCAGAAAGGCGGGCGCCATTCCTGCTCCCCCGTGAAAGGCTGGGCCATTCTCAGTGAATTCTTTCTCTGGACTTTCCTAGGTGGAAACGCAGGGATCGGGAAAGCCACCGCAGTGGACCTGGCCCGCAGAGGAGCCCGGGTCATTCTGGCATGCCGCAACAAAGCAAAAGGAGAATCAGCTGTGCACGACATCAGACGGGTGAGGGTCTGCCCTGCCTCTATACTCACACCCATGGCTTTTCTCCATCCAGGTCTCTTCGTGATGGTGATGCAGGCCTGCAAAAGCTGAGAGGGACAGGTGGGCAGATGGAGGAGGGCTTCAGGGCAGAAGTACTAACACTCATTTCTTACTTCTAGGCCTGGCAGGTGGTTTTCCCATGGTGAGGCTCATCCATTGTACTCTGGGTGTACGGACCCCCGTGATTTCCCCCAATGTGGGAGACTCGACTGCATCATTTGTGGTAGTGGGGGACTGCATTTGCTTTGGGGAAGGTGGATGACCAGGGTTAAGGTGAAGGACTTCAAGCAGCAGCATCTGAACAACCTCCAGGAAAATTCAAGTGATTATGGACACAAATGATATCGTGACATTAGTTGTGCAACCTGGAAGCAGAGTTTAGGTTGCTAAGTAGGGGGTGAAAAGTGCAAACCACCAAAGGGAATTTCTCAGAAATGCTGCCTCTTCCACGCACAGGCCAACGAGAGCCGCCTTCATGTGGGAGAAGGTGATGAGCTCTGGAAGATCCCTGGGAAGATTTGGCCTGGACAGAAGAGTCAGGTTTTGATGGAACCAGACTCTGGGTGCTTAATATCAGAAAAGGAGCTGAGGAGCTTTTAAATGAATCCCAAGGAGCTGAGGAGTATCTAACACTGGTACAATTAAACCTTACAGAGTGGAAGAATATATTCTTCTAGATGTTTAAATTCAGATGGACAAAATGAGATGAATTCAACAAGTTCTATTCTGGAAGTGAAACCTGCAGGAAAAAAATGGAGTACTGTAGCAATTAGCAATTCAAAACATTTTGCTGCATGTGTAATGGGACACCATTAATTCTTTCAGACCACTCTATTTCACAATTACACAGCTGTAAGTACTAACGATGGGTGCCGAAGAAGTGCTTGATTAGTTCTATGAAAGAATTACAAGTAAAAGATCAAATAACAGATCAGACACCAAAGAAGAATGTTCTAATAACGATTGGTGACTTTAATGCAAAAGCTGGAGAGGATCCTGTATTGGAAAGAGCTGGGAAATTTGGGCTAGAGCTCTGCAATGAGGGAAGACAACAGCTGATAGACGTCTGTATATCGTTGCTAAGACGTGACAGCTCTACCTCTGGAGGCCTCCAAATGGATAATACCATAATCAAATAGATTACATCTTACATAGCAACAGATGGAAAAGCTCTATGCTGAATTGGAAAAACACTGCCAGATGCTGGCTATGGATCGGGCCATCACCTACTAATCACAGAAATACACATCAGACTGAAAAAGACTCGGAAAGATCCAATCCCAATGACATAGAACCTAGAACCCACTTCAGAATATAAGATTGAGGTTAGAAACAGATTCAAAGACCTGGATTTTGTGGACAGAGAGCTGAAGAATTATGGGAAGAAGTGAAATGATTGAAAGAGAGGAAGCTGGAAAGCGCATAATAAGAGCCTGAAGGAAACAGAGAACACACTGGGTATCAAACAAGGCCACAGAAATAGCTACAACTTTGCTGGCTGGGGAATTCTGGGAACTGAAGTCTACACGTCTTAAA